TTTATTCTCCGTTGATGCATCATGACTTGCATCTGATGAGTCTTGCATGTTGCAACAATATCATTGTCGATCTGTTAATAAAGTAAAAACATAAATATTCTCATTTCAATTCTTATAAATAATATATAACAAATTATAGGACCATCAAAAAAACATTATAGTAATTTATAAGAATTAGCATATGATTGCAATATAAGAGAACTAGGTGAAGCATAAGCTGGTATAATCATGCTTCAACTTAAATTCAGAATGATATTCCCAAATTTACTAGGTACACAGCTATACTGTTGTATTAAAAGCAAATGGTTTGTGTTAAGGAATTCTGTAAAAAAAATAAAACAAAAAGAACATCTAGGATCTTGTTTATCATGTAAATGTAACTGCCGGGCTATAGAAGAAAAGAGAAGCACAAAAATGCATCCCGGAATTAAGGCAGAGACAAGATCGTCTTGAAGATCAAATACATGCACCAGCATAGGTCATTAGAGAGTCGAAAATTCAAAGTCAAGCCCGGAAAGCAAGATACTAGAATAAGTTAATGCTTATTAGTTATATTTAACTAACTTAATCTCCTCATAGTATAAAAACTCGGTTATTAGTTTCCAATATACACTTTGCACTTTAATCAATAAAAGCAACCTCTACTTCAAAACTTTCATAACATAGTACCAGAGCAACATTCCTTCCGCTAGATTCTTGAAGTTTCTTCATTGTTCCATTAGGAGGAGCAAAAGCGGCATTAGGAATATAGTTGCTAATGAGCTTGGACGATATAGTGTGGAAATTTAAGCAATTTATCGTGATGTATACAAAGGGTGAGAGATGGGTAAGATTGGAGGGAAAAAAAAAGAAGGGAAATCCAGAAAATTTCCTACCAAAAATGATGAAGTTGGTGAGGAAAATGGTGGTGGGACAGTTGTGGTCTATAAAGGCTGCAGATGCAGTGAAGAATGAGCAATTTCTGGAAACAAATCGAAAAAATATTCAAAGGAACTAGAACCAGTACTAAATAAATGTGAGGATAAATTTGGAACTCCTCGAGGTATACCACCCCTAGTAAAGATCATAAAATACAATTGAGTGATTCTCACGGTGAACATTAGACCTTATAAACATTCTAAAGAGCAGAAAGATGTGATTAAACAGATGGTGACAGAATTTTGGACTTGGGTATAACATGGAATAGCCAAAGTCCATTTTCCCTTATCGTTCTAGTGAAAAAAAAATGATTGCTTTTTAGAATGACTTGATTGACTTGCTAACCAAATAGTAAAGCTTTCCTATACAAGTAGCACCCTATTGGTGCTTTTAATACTGCACTTTGTATTTTAAAAAAATAATAGAGAACGGTGACATTTTGTCATGGCTTTATTATGTAACAACATATAAATTATATAACAAGAATGATCTAAAAATTCAGTAATCCCACCCATGCTATCATAAGAGAAGAGGAGCTATACAGTGACTAATTACTTTAATCTTTAAATTTTGAGAACAGATTTGAGTAGTTAGTTGGTAGAAAGAGCATTAGACAATGAGGTAAAAATATGAGATGCAGAATTAATGTAGACATCAAGCAAAGCTCCAATTAGACTGTAGATCAAGTATTTCAATTATGAAATTGAAGCACTAATGGAATTCATAGATAACAGTTTGTATATTACCTTACAAGAATGGTTTACAAATTTAGCAATCTGACCATGCTATCAACCTAAAATCAAAGAGCAATTTTAAAGAGTTAGCTACTTCATCAAAATAGAATTAGAAAATGGGTAAAAACACAAACGACAGAAATTGATGCAGCTGTCAACCTACTAAGAACCTGTTATAAAAAAGTCCTGGTTGAGATACAATTTGAAGAGCATTTTGTAGAAGATTTATGTCATGCTGAGTACTGGGAACTGTCTTATGATATTCCAAATGGCATTCTTAAACAACATGATTTTCTTGGAGCCATTGCCAGATAAAAAGTAGTTTCAGACTCCTCTCATGTCCTTCATCAGGGATCCTACATGAGCCATCAGTAGGTAATAGTAGTTATGTAAATGAAATGCAGTAGGAGAAACAATGTTCCAGTGAGGACTTCCACTCATTTGATGTCTACTAATTATTTCATGATGTCAGAAACAGTTACCATTAGCTATCTATTGTTAAATTAGATAACTCCTTGTAGATTGTAACTTTAATTGATGGGATTACCCAAAAGAACATAGGAATATTAGGATCTAAAAATTAAATGAATTGATGAAGAGGTAAAGAACATTTTGCATATCAGGTGTGGAAGAATTGAAAGAAAGCCCCTCAAATCCATCCATCAGAAAATTGTTCATAATCAATTAACATATGAAGTGAGCAAGACTATATGCAAAGACTCTTCCAACTAAGATACATCTTGATATTACATAAGGATGTTTAAGTTGCATCCTGAGAGAGGATTAAGCCTATGCTTGAAATAAATCCAAAATTAATATATGATTCATTTACAAATTTACACTTATTTTAACTACAAGATGATGAGAATTATAACTAAAATGATAAAAATATATAGAACTTTAAATGGAATAGAAATAATATATTACAAATTCTATCCATTTAGATAAAATTTGAAATGTATTATTTTAATTTTACATGGAAATTCCACGTAAACTTAATTTTTTCATCATTCTAGTTCAATTTACAACTTCTCCTA